GTGACCCTAGTGAGGATTAAGCAGTGTATAGATAATGGATGGATGATTTGGAATCAATGCCTCTTTGCCCACTTGTAGTTGGCAGACTGATAAAGTGGCACAGAGCAATCCTTCATGTGAAACATGAGTTCTGGAATGTCTTGATGATGTGTTCAACAATTGAGGTTTCACAATATGTTTTTGAGTTAATTTGCATCAAAGTAAGTCCACCCGAATATGAAGAGCAATCTAAAACATTGAGTCACTGCACTCCACTACCGTGACCTAAGACAATCATTACATTATCTTCTTTACAATGAATACATGTCATGATTTACACTACATTTATCATATTGAATTATTTGCATTAAAATGACTACATGACGTTGTTGACATTTCAATGATTCCATTGCCTCATTTAGGGCGGCCTTGTTTCACTTGTGCAATATGGTCAAACTCAGGAGCATCCTGTCTCAGAGTGATGCGGAAAAACTAGTCCATGCATTTATAACTTCTATTATAACTCTTTATCAGGAAGGTCAAAAACATCCAGCTCATAAAAAAAGCTGCAGCCAAATTCTAATTGCAAGCAGTAACAGATAGCAGATTTTTCCAATAGCAGCTTCACGTCATTGGCTCTGTTGTGATTATTCCGCCTGCCTTTTGGACCAGAGATAGTCAGGCAGCTTTGTCAAAGTCAAAAATCCCTTCTGGATCAACTGTTGGTATCTTCAAAAATGTTCAAGAAAAAGTCTTCACACCATTTTCAAAGTCTGATGTGAATAATGTTTTTTCAATACAGAGTCTGTAAGAACAAACTTGAGTAGACTCTTGAGACTTTAACTGAATAAACAACTCTTTACATCTTATACTCCTGCAGGCTCCTTCTTCTACTGGGAAACCACAACCAATTCATTTAAAAAAGACCAATCAGATCAGCTCTGACACCATTGTGTTCGATGTTTTTTATTTTTTATTTTTACAGGTTGTGATCACACAGGATTGTTCAATTTGAACATACATCTAATTTAAACACTATATTTCCAAGTTTTGTCATTTGTTTAGTTTAAAACCACACAACAGCTCCCTTTAAAATTCAGGATGGCATTTAAAATCCTGCTTCTCACATACAACGCTCCATTATATCCTAAAGACATTACTGTACCATAGTATTTTGAGAGAGGACTTTGCTCTCAGACTACATATTTAGTTGTAATTTCTGCAGTTTCCAGAAGTAGAGCAGGAGGCAAACCTTTCAGTTATCAGGCTGCTCCACTGTGGAATCAACTCCCAGTTTGGGCTTAGGAGGCAGACACTTTCTCTACTTTTAAGATTAGGCCTAAAACTATGTTCTTTGACAAAGCTTAAAGTTAAGGATGGCTCATAGACACCTGATCCATCCTGTACTTATGCCGTTATAGGTTTACATTGTTGAGAGACTTCCCATTTTACACTAGGCATTCTCCTCTACTCTCTAGTTTCTTTCACAACTAAATCAAACTCTTCTGGAAGAACAGGAGCTGTAGTGGTTGTTGTAAGAGGAGCTCTTGTTTGAGGAGAAACAGATGTGGTTATTGTTGTTGTTGGATTAGGAGCTTTGTCTGTTGGAGGAGGTACTGTGGTTGTTGGAGGAGGTGCTGTGGTTGTTGAAAAAGCAGCAGTTAGCAAAGTGGTGGTTTTAAGCGGAGGAGTAGCTCCAGATGTTGTGGGAGGAGCTGCGCTTGTTGAATAAGGAGCACTGGTTGTTGTTGAAGGACCTGTAGGGTGTTGGAGAAGCAGCACCTCTGGTCATTGCTAGAGAACCAGTGGTTGTTGTTGGGGATGTAGTAGCAGTTGCTGAAATTGCAGTGGTTGGTTTTGGAGGAGCTGCCAATGTTGCTGGAGGAGGAGCACTCACTGTTGGAGTGGGAGATCTGAGAGCTGTACGACAAAGCGAGATTAGTGGGTTAGCAAGGTAAAGCCAGAGTTTTCAGTATGACAAAGGTGGCTTTCTGTTCATCTGGCTATATCACCATGGTAACTTATGCTGTGAAGCTAACCTGGGGACTGCACCACAAAGCAAGCAAATAGACTTACTGTCAATCTTATAAACTCAGGACATAAGACTTTAGTGTTTTGATCAGATTTTGTTTCAGGATTATATCACTCTCCATGGCAGATGGAACAATGAAATGAAGAAATGCCATATCTTCCCCACTCACTATTTGCACATTGAGATTCACTGGATCTTCTAATACTGATGACATTTCTCCAGCAGAACTGATTGGTCAGAAGGACGCGCTGATCTCTTATCTGGAACATCACCTGTTCTGAAGCAGGTTAGCCAGTCAGCACAAGTAACCATAGAGCTGTGCCCTTGATAAAAAATGAACCACCATTGTAGTACCAAAAACCTGGAGATAAATCTGGAGTTACCTCAAATAACCTCAAATCCTGCTTTGTAGTACAGGCCTGTGATGTTGTCCCCCATCTAAACGTTTTGAGATCTGTTTCTCAGGATGTCCAGTATCCATGTGCACAGTAAACTGCCTAAGCCCACGTTTCTCCATTTTTGGAGCCGTTTGTGTGGTATAATTGTGTTAAATACTGAGCTAAAATCCACAAACAGCATCCTTACATATGTGCTCTTTTGGTCCTGATGTGTACAGACTGTAGAGAACTGTAATGATTGCATCCTCTGCTGATCTGTTTGCCTGATATGCAAACTAATGTTACTGGAGGTTGGCAGGGATTTCAGATTTAACATGAGAAGATCAGGCTCTCAAAGCATTTGGTGATGATGGGTGTTAGAGCACCTGGATTAACCAGGCAGTTCACTGTGTTTTTCTTGGGTACTGAGACATTTGTGGCCAACTTAAGGCAGGTGGGGACTGCAGACTGTTAAAGCAGAAGGTTGAAGATGGTGGTAAACTCCTCTGCAAACTGGTCTGTGGAGGTCTTAAATATCCATTAAGTGGCTCCATCTGGTCCAGCTGATTTCCTCGTGTTGACGCAGGGACGATCTGACCTGATGTTGCTGAAGCTCGATGGGATCTTCCTTCCCTGGTAGTGAGGGCCAGATTTTGGCCTCTGTGTTGAAATGAGCTATAAGGCTTTCTATGTATCTGTCAGTCTGTGTTGCTCTGGTGTTGTTCCCACAGACTGTATAAAAAGATGATTGTTCCGGGCCGCCGCTTTAGTTCACCTGGTTGAGCTGGCGACCCATGCACAGGGGCTATAATCTCTGACGCGACGGCCATGGGTGCGAGTCCTGCTTATGGCCCTTTGCTGCAACCCATTCCCCCATTCTCCTCCCCCACTTTCCTGTCTCTCTTTCCTATCTAATAAAGGCAAAAAGGCCAAAATAAATAAATAAATAAATAATTAAAAATAGGGATCGTTTGCTTGTGTTGGCTTTTATTTTGACATGCTTACATTTCACTCCCTCTTCCTGTTTGTCCGTACAGTCAACAAGATTTAAAAAATAAATAAATAAATAAATAATTAAAAATAGGGATCGTTTGCTTGTGTTGGCTTTTATTTTGACATGCTTACATTTCACTCCCTCTTCCTGTTTGTCCGTACAGTCAACAAGATTTAAAAAATAAATAAATAAATAAAAGATTTTTTTTGCTGTTGTGGGTCGTATTTTGCCTTTGTTTTTGTTTGTTTTTTTAGCACTGAATTTTCAGATAAAAACTAAAATTGGCCAATTCTACTTCGCTTCAAATTGAAAACAATTTACGTCATATCCGTTTTTTGTTTTCCAAACGGAAGCGGAAGAGGAAACTTCGAAAACCATCAACGAACCACGTTTGATAGTTTTGGGTTTTGTTTTGTGTTGCTTTAAACGTTTTTTTGATGGCGACAGAAGTGTTTCCCGGTCAGTTTCAAAGAGTTTCTTTGTCAGACTCTCAGTTGGACTTCTCCGGTCAACCGTATTCCGTGTCCGTGCTTAAAGTCGGCTACTGTTGTCCTCAGACTGACGGCACGTTCAAAGCCGACGGGACGATCAGCCTCATAACGGGACCCAGGACTATTCTCGTTGACACGGGAGGACCGTGGGACCGGGACTTTCTTCTTAAGTCCTTGAAAGACAGAGGTTTGGAACCAAGAGACATTAACGTTGTCGTGGGGACTCATGGACACTCAGATCACATTGGAAATCTGAATCTTTTTCCAGCAGCTGTAATGATTGTAGGTTATGATATCAGTGAAGGAGACACATACCGTCCCAACAAGCTGGCAGAAGGACAGATGTACTCTATTGATGAACATGTAAGTAACTTGGTGTTATCTAAGAGATAAACACTTTATGAGTGTCACTAAATAATAAAATGAACTGGTGTGAAGAATGATCTTGATCATTTTTGAGCCACAAAAGTCTGAGGAGGAGTGAGAAAATTTCATTCCACTCCCTCCTGTCAGTCACTTTGTTATCCACTTGCTGTGTGAACACAAAAACACACAACACACCTGTCAACACTGCAGCACAATAACCTACGCTGATTTATTGATTCATCTGACCACCTAAAAATACAAAGGCATGTTTGTCATGAATGCATACTTTCACACAACTTTTATTTTCACACATAAGCTAATCATACAAGAACATTCGTTAATTTCTGGGGTTCTTTTCACTCACTATATATAAAGTAATCACACTTGTCTGAAGGTTGTGCTAAAGAAAATAACCTGCCTCTACTTTACAGAATTAAATTATTTCAGACTTTAATATAATATCAAACTCAAGGCATTATTATTATATTATTGTTATTTATTTTATTTTAAGTATTTTTTTAAATTATTTTTTCAAATATTTTTTATATATTTTAAAAATATTTTTATTTTCTTTATATTGTTTATTTTTATTCTCTTTTATTCAGAATAAAAAAATGCATACCAAACAAGAGCTCGCGTCTTAAGAGGTTAAATTAATCTTTTATTATTGTTTCTAGTCACCTATTTAAAAAAAAATAAATAAAAAATTCTCATTTTTAATGTCGTTTGCTTCTGTTTGTGTGTCAGCAAGATTGTGTAAAAGCTACTGGACCAAATTTCATGAAACCAAGTGGTAAGATGGACAAAGGATTCAATTTCCATCCAGATCACTTTTTTTTGTCAAGTTTCGAGAGAAGACGTTGGCCTTGGCAGAGAACTAAACTCTCAGAGAGCCCTTCTAGTTGGCTAAAAACGCTGGTGTGAGCCCATCATTTCTGTAAGTTTCACAACAAACCTCGGTGAGCTGTTGGTTGTAAACAAGCTATTATATTTGACAGTTTCAGACATTTCATAAAATGTTTTGTAAGACATTTTAGGACAAGTCTCAATGATAATAATCCATCATAAACATTTAACGCAACTGCTCCCATCGAACAAATTTTTATTTTCACAAAGCTGTGGTTATTGTGAATGTGTGGCTTTAAGAGGCTGGTAAATGGAAATGATGAGGTAGCCTACCAAAGGGACCAATAAAGTTCTATCTATCTATCTATCTATCTATCTATCTATCTATCTATCTATCTATCTATCTATCTATCTATCTATCTATCTATCTATCTATGAGCTGGGGGCTATAAGAGTAAATTGACAGTCACTGTTTACACAAGTATGCTACTGTTGATCCAAGGGCTTTAATTTGATGAATCTTACAGGTATAAACTAAATATGCAAATCAGGACATGCTGTGTGTCTGGGTGTATTGTTTGAATCAGTTTGTGGCCTGTTTCACGACCAAAAGTAGTGTTCTTTAAGTTTTACTAAAATGGTAATTTTTTTTGTCTTGACTATAACCTAAATTAAATGTCCACATCATTTTTCTTAACTGATCTAATTACCACCACAATATCAAGTGCTTTGTTCACCAAAAAAGATGATGCAGAATAAATATGACGAAAATATTTGTTTAAATTAAAGAAAATTAACACTGCAAAGAGGAAAAGAGAAACAAACAAGATGAGCTGTGTCGCCTCATCAGTCATTCTGCAGATTCAGATTTTTACCCAGTGTCCTCTCACCCGCAGGTATCTGTAGTTCCCACTCCAGGCCACACAGGACAAGACGTCAGTGTCCAAGTAAAGGGAACATCAGCAGGCATTGTACTTGTTGCAGGGGACTTATTCGAATCCTGCTCAGATGAAGACAGCTGGCGGGATCTGAGCACGGACACTGCAGTGCAGGAAGTTAACCGCCAGGAGGCGCTATGCAACGCAGACATCATCATCCCGGGGCATGGACTCCCATTCAGAGTCCTCAGGAACTGATCACATGCAGGGCTGCAGGTTATGTAAGAAAGTAATGATTAATTTTCCACCTTAACTAAACAAATCGTATAATGCTGTTATACTAAAAACTTTATGAGTGTCATTCAACAAAAAACGGGATGATCTCACTGAGTATCGCACCTTAATCATTTTATTACACAAACCTAACAACTACATTGGTCATACATTTATAACTGTCAAATTATAGCTGCTTAACAACATGTCAGTGTAGCTCCTGACTGCCAGTATTCACATCTACTGATATGCTCTTAGAGCTTAGACCTCTGCCAAAGCAGACTTTTAGTTATTCTGTTATCCAAGAATCTGTTGTCCAAGTTTAAATAAAATACGCGCTTCACCACCAAAATTCAAAACAGAATAATGGATTATTTGGAATGTGTGGGAATGTATGGTTTAACATTCGGCAACATTTTAGATCCAGTTTGGTACTTTTAGCTATCCAGTGCTGGCTTTTTATTTATTGTGGTGATGTTTTTAAAGATGTGTAAACAAGGGCATATTCTTGATTGATTTTTTAATTTAAACTCTGAATTTGAAGTCTGAGTTGAGGTCAAAGTGTTGTGATATTCTCCTATTTTTCATGGAAACACCAGCAAATGAGATAATTTGCAGTGTAGAAGCTTAAAAACTCGTGATGTTATATTGGGATAATTGTGCTAAAAGTAAACATGACTGTCAGCTGAGTTTGTTGTTGCTTTTATGACAAGATGTGTATTGATGAAACCTATCAAAACTAACAGCCTGTGGCAGCAACACTAAATAAAGAGAATTTGTTTCTGGAGATTAAACCACGACTTCGGTCTCATTCATTCCAACACTGCCATTCTAATACAATAACTTACACACATATGCTGCAGTTACAGTACTTCAACACATTTCTTCCACATGCACACACACACACTGCACATGTACAGCTGCATGTCAACATTCTACTGCTGGCTGTCGGAGTGGTGTCAAGCAAACAATTTGTGCTGCATAGACAATTGGAAATCGGAATAAGAGAGATAGTGTTCTTCCCCCTTAAACCTTGACATTTCAGAGGTGAAAGGAGGAAGCAGCGTCGCAGTTCTACACACTTCTCTGTGGCTTTTTAACCCCTGTAACATCCCATAGTGGCTGTGTCTGCATCCTGACCACCAAGATAATAAGTATGTAATTATTAGAGGAGCTGTTCATAAGACCCTAATTCAGATTAATACGAATGTTTTATTATAACCGAAAAACTGGAAAATTAAATGTGGATTATTAAATATTACAGTCGTCCTCAAATGTGTTCATACCCTTCCATTAAAGAAAAATTCACAATAGTCACGCCAATAACTATAAACTAAAAAAAAAAGTAATAATAAATAAACATTTGCTAAATTATAATTTAGTGAAATAAGACATTGCTTTTGAATTGTGATTGAAAAGAATAATAAAAAAAAACAACAACAAAACTGTCCTGGACAAATTAGAGCACTTTGCTGATAAATGGTCTGTACTTATATAGCGCTTTTCTACCTTTGCAGCACTCAAAGCGCTTTACAATGTTTCTCATTCACCCATTCACACACGCATTCACACACCAACGGTAACAGAGCTGCCATACAAGGTGCTGCTTGCCATTGGGAGCAACTTCGGGTTCAGTGTCTTGCCCAAGGACACTTCAACTGTGGAGGGGCCGGGGATTGAACTGCCAACCTTGCGATTAGAGGACAACCCGCTCTACCACCTGAGCCACAGCCGCCAAAATCAAAATACCTGTCAACAGGTGCAGAAGTCTGATGAAGAGTTACAGAAAACACTTGATTGCAGTGATTGGCTCAAAGGGTTGTT